TAATTTCGTATATGTGACGTCATTGAAAAATGTATTAATTGAACCAGTTCATTGAAACGAACTGTCTGAAAGAGCCAGTTCAGAATCTAACTGAATCGAAAAGAATCGTATTTCCTGTTTGCATGAGGCTCTGGATTCAGATCAGACTGATCGTTTCGTATCATAAGACCTCAATATATCGTCAGGAGCCATGCATATTAATTTTGTGTTTCTTGATAGGCTCTTTTTTTAATTCTCAAAAACCGGTAGCCATTGCCTTGCATTTTATGAATCACCAAGCACCACGGTTTCAGCTAAAAATCTTCTTTACTGTTCTACTGAAGAAGAAAGTCATCTACATCTTGGATGGGATGATGGTGAGTAAATTAACAGTGAATTTTCAGTTTTGTGTGAACTATTCCTTTAACTGCCTCTCAAACAGGATACAAGGAGAGACCTGGTTTTGGTGATGGGCTTATTATTGATGGTCTTCCACTGTCCACTTCCAACCTCACTGCAGTACAGATAGTATCCCACAATACCCTCTGTTATTTTGGGCTCCTTCCACTGCAACAGGACTGAGCTGTTGGTGTCTCGGATGGACAGGACGCCGTGGGGTTGGGCAGGAACTCCTAAAAGACAGAAAACCCTCTCTCAAACATACTGGTTTACATACACGCTACCCTTGTGAAAAAGAAGTGTGCAGTTCACCCCCAAAAAAAAAAAAAAAAATTCTGTAACCTGGTTTTGGTGATGGGCTTATTATTGATGGTCTTCCACTGTCCACTTCCAACCTCACTGCAGTACAGATAGTATCCCACAATACCCTCTGTTATTTTGGGCTCCTTCCACTGCAGCAGGACTGAGCTGTTGGTGTCTCGGATGGGCAGGACGCCGTGTGGCAGAGTGGGAACTCCTAAAACACCAAAAAAAAACAAACCCACAATCAGCTGTACTGGTTTACATACACACTTGTAAAAAAGAAGTGTACTTAAAAAGATAATTCACCCAAAAATGACAATTCTGTCATCATTTACTCACCCTCCACTTGTTTCAAAACTGTATGAGTTTCTTTCATCTTCTAAACATAAAAGAAGATACTTTGAAGAATGTTTGTAACTAAAGAGTTTACGGTAGCCATTGGCTTCCATAGTATTTTTTCCATACTATGGGAATCAATGGCTACCATCAACTGTTTGGTTACCAAGATTATTCAGAATATCTTTTTTTGCGTTCAAAAGCTGAAACAAATTCATACAGGTTTGGAACAACTTGAGTGTGAGTAAATAATGACTAATTTTTATTTTATGTGCACTGTTCCTTTAAGAAAATGGTTACCTAGCGGCTGGCCCACTGAGATGGGTTCGCTGGGAAGAGACGGTTCGCTGATGCCATACTTGTTAACAGAGCGAACACGGTAAGTGTATGACTTTCCCTTCCGCTGGTCAAACGCAGCAAATCTTGTAGACAGAACCGTCATATCCATACTAGCCAGATGCCAGCTCTCCTTCCCTGTTAGGGACTGAAATCAAAACAGTCATCTTTACATTACAGTTTTTCTTGATTGCTAACACACTATAACTGATTCATTTGGCCCAATAGTAGTGGGAGATGGATGGAAAAGCAATAGGAGGGGAAAATAAAAATTAATTGGATAAGGTCAAAGGTAATTTGTTCCTGATGAAATACAAAACACTATAGTTGACCATGTTCTTCTGCATGGACTGACCATGAGGGAAGTTGGCCTACAGGGCAGACTCATCTACAGGGTTTCAATACTACTTACACATACAATATGATTACAATACATAGTAGCAGTACTTCAGATGAGAGAACTTTCATTATTCTATGTACAGTAAATACTGTGCTCTATTTTTGAGGAACTGAGAGACGACTGTCTAGGGGAGGCAGAGGAGTCTTTTGTCAGAAGACTAAGAAACTGCTATAACTACAGTAATAAGGATACTACCAATACTGTAATGCAATTTGGCAGAGGATGCTGAATGAATGAATGCATTTTTTTATTCCAATGTGTGTTTACTGTATATTCACTGTATATTTTTGTTTACTGTATATATTTGGTCTTTGAACTTTTCTCTTGTAGTGCTTTTCATCTACTGTAAGATCCTTTACAGTAGTGTAATGAAAGTAAAGTTTTCTTTCAGCTTATTGCTGAATTTTACTGTATCTGCACCCCTCTATTTATGTCATATACTGTAACAGACACTGACTAGCAAAACGATTCCTATTTCCCAAAAGGAGGTTTTTGTAACAGTGTTTTGAATTGATCTCACTAGTGTTCTCTAGGCAGTATTTGACAGGTTTGTGTATCATCTGAGGCCAAAGTTTGAGTCTGACAAAAGAGAACATGTTTTTGACTAAAATGTTTGATTTTGACCTGGAAGTTTGAAGTTTGCACATGTTTGTGTGTAGTTTTGAGATTGTGTTTATAGTTGTGAGAAAATGGTGAATTGTTTCATGCGTTGTGTGTTAGCAATCGCAGACTGTAGTGTACTGTAATGTATTGTTATTTATTATTTATCCAAAGCGACTTACAGTACATTCAAGCTAAACATTTAGCCAGTATGTGTGTTCATTGAATCAAACCTATTTCTGTCTAATTTCAGGTCTGTATATGTAATTTTTTAAACTATAAATTACACTTGCGTTTTTTTATTTAAAAAAAAAAAAAATAAATTACAGATTTAAAAATATGCAGACCAGAAATTAGACAAAAATAGTGTTTTTCCAGCACGTGTCGTTTTTTTATTTAAAAAAAAAAAAAAAAAATTACAGATTTAAAAATATGCAGACCAGAAATTAGACAAAAATAGTGTTTTTCCAGCACGTGTGTTCCTTAGGAATTTCTAATTTGTGGTCTGTATATTATACATTTTTGTATATATAATTTATGCAAGTTTAATTTAGTTTTAAAAATAAAAATAAAATCACATTAAGTCAACATTTTCACATAAATGGACAATCACATATAAAACATTTTGTACATATAAAAAATATACAGACCAGAAATTAGACTTTTTTTGTTTTTGTTTTGGTTAGCATGTGTGTTCCCTTGAATTTCTGTCTAATTTTTGTTCAGTATATATATATATATATATATATATATATATAATTTATGCAAGTGCAATTCATAGTTAAAAAAAAATTACATATATAAAAACGTACAGATCAGAAATCAGAGAAAAATAAGTTTTTGCCAGTATATGTGTTTATTTTGCCTGGAATTGATATTTTTTTGTATATATATATAATTTTATTTTTTAACTATAAATTTCACTTGGATAAAGTAGCAAGTCTCCATGAAGATAAAGTATTGCAATATCCTCTATAATAAAATGTGCCCGGCGGTAAATGTGAATTTAAATATTTTTCATACAGTATATGTATTTCTGCCCCCACAATTTCAGATGATCCCGAAGAACTAGACGGTTTTATTATGGTTCTTCTTATAAAGAGTCCAAGAAGTGCATGTCCTGTGGCAGTGTGTGCATTCTCCTGCTCATTACAGAGTCGGCGAGCTGCTGGAGCTCTTTCTTGTGCCTGATACTGGAAGATTCGACCTCCTCTGCTCTGAGAACGAATCACTCCGAGCACTTTTACACTGTGATTAACGAAGAGAGGATCTGAAACTTTAAAACTGCCCTCGAAAACCAGAAGGATCTTGACCTCTTGCAGTGCTGGAGGCCATGGACATCAGAAACCGAGAAGCTAAACTTTAAAAATGTTTTTTTTTTTTGTGTTAAGCCTGTCGGGTCATTTTATTTGCTCTGTAACATTACATTTTTACCAAGCTAATTTAATGTCTACTAGGGTTACTGGATTTGACCAGAAATCAGATATACATACAGATAGTGATGCAATGCAACTATAATATAATGCATTTTAATGAACAAAGTTGCAGTTGAATGCTTGCAGTGTTGACTGCTAAAGTTCAGTGTTCAACAGTGAAATTTATGTAATTTTTATTCTTGTAACAGGAAGAGCAATGCTGCTTGCAACGGCAATGTCATGGTTCGATTCCCAGGGAAAAAAATATACGGTAAAGTGCATAACTTCAAATGTTATAATTTAAAAAAATATATTAGGATTTTTAGGATAAGTTTTCATATACTGAACTCATCCAGTGTTGTTATTGTTGACTAAAATAAAATTTTCGGCAAGTGAAAAAAAAAAAGAAATAAAATAAGTATTAGATGAAAAATGTAAACTTATACTAGAGATGCTGTCTTGGCAACTAACTGAAATAAATAAGATTAAGTTGAAGTACTTTAAAATTACTAATACTGAAAAAAAAAAAAATAAGCAAAACAAATTTTTAAAAACAAACACCAATAATAATAAAAAAACACACACATAACAAAATGACTAAAACTAAAATTAAAAAGAAATCTGAAAATAAAACCTAATTCAAAAATAAAATAAATAAATATTAGATGAAAAATGTAAAATTAAAAAACGTCTCGGTTACGTATGTAAGCCTCGTCCCCTGAAGGAGGGAACGGAGACGTCACGTCGGTGACCGACGAATTGGGATCTCGCTTAGAGAGACCAATCCACTTCGAGTGTAAACTAAACGAGCCAATGCACATCGGTAGGCCGGGGCTCGCAACAAGAAGGCCAGTCACACTGGGAAAACATACCCGTTCCACTTAGCTGCTGCTGATCACAGCGTGAGCATAAAAAGGCAGCAAATGCAACGCATACCAGGTTTTCGCTGGGGGGCCGAGCCGGTGACCCGGCCGCTCAGTGGTGGTACAGCAGCCGTGGCGACGGGACGTGACGTCTCCTTTCCCTCCTTCAAGGAACGAGGGTTACATACGTAACCGAGACATTCCCTTTCAGTCGGTCACTCCGAGTCACGTCGGTGACCGACGAATTGGGATCCCTACCAAAGCGCCATGGATGCTGCCCCTTCCAGTGTCCTGTGCGAGCCGCCTGCGCCCCTTTGTGGTGTAGGCCAGGGCTCGCAACAAGAAGACCAGTCACTGTTGTCATAGCACTACCCACTCAGTGAGATTGGATAACACTGGGAAAACGTACCCGTTCCACTTGGAACAGGAACGTTGCGGAAGCCCCATCCTTCCCGAAGGAGGTTTCGGAAGTACTTACACATATGACATCCGTTTAGTAACCGATTGTAACCCTCATGGAAATGGCAGAAGTCTGCCGGGGAAACACGGGCTCTGAGGCTATACCGTGGACTTTACACATATGGGA